GTTGGTGTCTTATTTTGCCTGTGCTGTCCCCGGAGCAAGAATGCTGCTACGGTGACAAGGTTCGGTGTGCTTGAGAAAGCTAGACCCCAACCCAATTCTGGGGGTAGTATGCTTTCGAAGTAAAGACCGAAACAGTTCTGCATGAGGGCATAGGCTGAAAAGCAGGCCCTGGGAGCTTCCAGGGATTGACTTATTCCTATGCACAGGGACCCTTGTGGTCGTTCGGGCTGGGTCAGCAAACCAAGACTGACCCGCTACGACAGGACTCAACCTAAAGACCCCTTCCTCATGGGATTCGGTGTCTGTTAGGTGGTAGTCGATAAAGACGTTCTGCGTTCTCCAGAAGCCTGCCCTCCGTGTATGTTCGAGGGGGGGGCACCTGACGCTAGCACTAGTGAGTTGGCAATCGCACAGAGCTCATACAAGCTCTGTGTAGAGGAAGTTAAAGTACTATAGACCTCTAATACAGTCGCAGTAAACCACCTGGTTATGGAAGTTGGGGAAGCCGGCCTATCCTGCCTGCCTGGGCCGTAACACAAAGACATGTGCCTGGCACCCCGTTCTGAATCCTTAGTACGGTTTAGTAGCAACTCTATGCTCGAACCGGCCAGCAATTCTTCCTGACCCTCCGGGCAGGCAAAATTTAACAGCCGGGGGATGATGATTGGGTGAGAATCGTGTCCTAGGATTTGGTTCTAGGCAAGAAACCCGATTCCTGTCTTTAGCACAACATGATTGTCCATAACGACAGTACATCATCCAAGAAGGACAATGCCCCCAGCTCTGGCCGACGCCTACCTGAGGCAAGGGCCAGTAGGAAGACTAATTTCCACGTCAAAAATTTGAGTGATGCTGATCGAAGAGGCTCAAACGGAGGTCTGCTTAGAGCGGACAACACAGCCAACAAGTCCCAGTTGGACAGTTCCTTTGTATGGGGTCTCTGCGTCTGAAAAGCAGTAAATAGTCTCCTAATAATAGGACAATCGGCTAGTCTTGTTCCCGTAAGTTCTCAATGATGGGGGACAAGGCCAACCTATAGCCAACAATCACTGCATGTGGACGAAGAAGCCTGCTACCTGGCAAATAGAGGGATGGTATGGTCGTTGGCAGCCCGCTCAGATAAAACTTTCGTATGTGCGGGTCTACTGAGAGTCTCTATGCGTGTAAGTGATACCCGTGGGCAATGAGCCCGTAGTGCGCCGTCTGGTTGAAACGACAGGTCCGGTAAGTCCGAAAGCACTACTGGTGTTTCGACTAGCATTTCCAACAGAAGTGGAAACAAGGCCTTGCTTGACCAATTGGGTGTGACCAATGATAATATGCAGGTGTGCACCTTTCCAAGTTTTCTCCGGTGCCCGGTGAACTAGCGGGAAAGAAGGAAAGACGTACACAACTAAGAGGGTCCATGGGGTTAGCAAAGCTTATATCAGCCACTTTGGAGACGGAGCCGCCTTGAAAGGGTGTCTGCCAGACTATTCCTCACCCCTGGAAGGTGGTGTGCAGTTAGCTCCACATTATATTTCAGGCACCAAAAGAGGATTTGCTCCGCTAGTACTGACAATGGGGAGCGCGTTCCTCCTCCTTCTTGAAGGAGACCACCACTGCGTTGCCTGTGCGAAGCAAGACTCTGTGGTCTCGAACTACAGGTAGAAAGCGTGGTAGTGCTAAGTATACTGCTTTTAGTTCAAGCCGGTTGATATGGTAGTCCCGAAACTAATGCGAGGGCCATATCCTTGGGCTTGTTCGTCCAATAGATGCACTCCACAACCTTGGGAGGAGGCATCTGTTGCCAGAGTCATACCTGCGGCAAGTGGGTCCAAGGGGGCCCCCTGTCCGAGGTTGGCCAGTGACGACCTCCAGGGCAAAGCTTCCTTTACTTGGTCTGAGATCAAAACCCGCCTATCTAGTTCCCATAGGAGAGCTCAGCGTTATAACGAGCGTTATAGTGGGGAAAAACCCTTTGAACCAAGGTCATCATTCTGATGATCCGCATTAGTTCTCGGAGGGACGCTGAGGGAACGCTGACTAGGCGTTCGACTAGGCTGCTCAGCACTAAGCAACACGCTTGAAATAGCTAAACCAAGCTTACCTCTGTGTCAAAACTCCATGCCCAGGGACACCAACTGCGCGTTGGTTCGAGATGAGACTTGTCGATTTACTAACGAGCCCACCGAGGTGCACCGACATTTGGTGAAGCAGCAGCAGCACTACCTGTTTCATCACTCTGGTGAACACGTAGGACGCTGCGCATAACCAAACGGGGGGCACCTGAAATTTGAATACTTGGCCTAGCTGGGCGATTCGAAGGAGTTGGCAACTCGCTGGGTGCATCAGTATGTGCAGGTATGCCCCGCTTAAGTCTAGTGGGGCTAGCCAGTCGAAACGGCGGATGGAGAGGAGAACCCTGAATGGCGTCTTCATGTGGAACCGATCGAGGAGCACATACTGATTCAGTCTGCCTAGGTCCAGAACTGGACGCCCGCCACTTGTAGATTTGGTACTACGAACACATTTGGGTAGAAGCCTGGACTAAGTTTCAACTGCTGCTACTTCCTGCCTGATTGCTTCTGCCTTGCGAGAGTCCCCTGGCAGCGCCCAACAGGGGAGACACTGGCGAGGGAGATGGAGATTTCAGTGGTATCTCGTAACAGAATGTCACCACCTGGAAAGGTCCAGGGATCGGTCAGCCGCTGTCTCCAAACCGGACTACACCGGCGCAATCTGTGTACGACAGGAATATGTGGCCATGGGTTCGGCAGTTGCGACGGGGGTGCTCTCTTCCCCATGAGGCGAGTTCCCCAAGGCCTGAAGTAGTCACTAAGTTGTGACCTGGCCACTCGCCAAACACATGCCTGTCCCTCTGGTTGCAGAGGTAAGCGTCAAACACGCTTCCTCCGCTGTCGGGGTAGACGTCCGCCCAAGGAGGGTGAGGAGCCACCACCTGGCTCTTTCCTCCCTGGGGGTGCGCCACTACTCTTCCCTCCCATGGAAGGGTATGAGCGCTTGCCTCCTGGCTGACTCTGGCTAGCGGACGACGCCCTAGGGCATTGTGTTTTCTGTGCTTGGGGTGCCCTCCGCTTGCCCTTGGCAGGGTCAACTTGCTAGCGGATCCGATCTGAACCCGCTAGTTCATTGCACTCCGAAGCTCCAAGACTGTACTCACCATTCCCCGAACAAAGAGGGTGGAAGATGTCCAGTCTGCGTCACGTACCCCCTGACTCAGCTTGCTGGCGAAAACACATGTGTCTAAGGCCACGTCTCATTGCGCAGTAGTGGCCCCAGCCAAGAGAGACAGGTGACACTAGGGGATGTCGCATGTAGATGTGTGGTGGACCACCCATAAATGTGTCGCCTGGTCTAGGAGGCTGGTGTGTTCTGCCTCCAAGGTCTCAGAGTCCAGGGCGTGCACGATAATGCGCTCAAGCAACTCTGCCCTCAGGGCGTAATGGATCGTCTCAGATTGAGCTGGCGAGAACGCCCATGGAACACGGCTGTCCCCCTTTACCCGGTCTGCCCAAAGGAAATTCGTGGTACCTGGGTCTGGGGAAGGAGCCTTGGGATCAGGTTGGGGGTATTTTGGTCTCATCCCACACTTTGGGAACTGATCCCGAAACCACACCGACCGGGTAGCGTTTGGTCCAGCGGAAAGTGTCACACAAGATTTTACCCCACCTGGGGGCCTTGAGCGTTACCTCCTCCGTGGCTGACCAATGTCCACCCATCAACACCGTTTGCGCGCCCTGTGTCCCACTCCGCACTCGGACGGACAGGGAGAGACATGCCGACGGGGTTGCTTCGGATCCCGACGCCCGTGATCCCATAAGCGTTGAAGCAACTGAAAGTGGTCGCCTTAGGATCAGGGGTGGGGGGTATTTACATTGTATCACTAAGATCGATAGAACTCTGTATCACCCAAAAGCGTGGCTCACCGAGTAGTTACGGATGGAAGACTCTGATGGACCACCCGAACTACCGGCTGTATCCGGCGCAAGCGAACTGTGTCTCCTTTTCACTTTAAATATGTGAGAGTCGTAAACATTTTTTTACATTGCTATTTGCTATTTTACATTGCTATATGCAAAAGGTATATAATAATGCAGTACTTCAAAGACCTAATAGATGAAGTCAGCC